CAGAATTAAGACCCTTTTAGGAAGTGGATAGACTCACACTTGGCTCTTTTAATGCATCTTTAGTTTTTCTCTTTACCCTCGTCAGGAACTGATAATTGAATTACCCAAACAGTGATAAGATAATTACATTCCTGTAATGCAAACAAACTACAGTTTTATATTTTGTAATTACACAGGTTGAAAGAGACCTTCAAAGGTCATCTGGGGCAATCTCCTGATGGGAACAAGTCCAAGGAAAGCAGGTTGCTTGGGGCCTTGTGCAGTTGATTTTTGAGAATCTCCAGAGATATTTCAGTCTTTCTGAAATGGGTTTTCTGGATTGTCCTAAAAGCCTCAGTTATGTCATCCTCTGACCGAAGAAAGCTTTGTTACATAAACAATGAAATTGGTTTCTTCATGCTAAGTGCCATTTCTGTGCTTGGTAATGGGAGACAGATCTCTTCCTGCCTTTCTTAGTTTCTCAGCAAACTGGAGAAGAGCCTCAAGCGTTAGCAGAGTTTGAAAAGTACGATTTTCTTAAATTTTCCTTATTTTTTTTGTACTTGTATAGTATTTCCATGAATTTTTTGAAGATTAAAAGAAGATAGAAACAAATATTAGTGATTACACCAAAGACTAATTCTTAGACTGTGTAGATACTCTGTGCTGAAATACCACATCAAAAACTGGAATTAAACCATGCAGGTGTTTCTGTAGTGTCTCTGGTTGAGATTAGTTTTTTCTTCTCCAGAATCTTCATCCATGACAGACTGATAAGTTTTATCCATGTTCTCTGTGGTGATCTCAGATTTATGTTTAGAATGGCTGAAAGTGTATCTTTGGGATGAGGTCTGAATGTTTGTTTTTGTGCATCCATTGACTTCTGTAGGACTAATTATATAGTTACAGTTGTGCTTAGATGTTTTTGGCTTAGACTTTGGTTGGCTTAGGCTAAAGCATTGCTAGAAAAGCTGGCTAGGAAAATGTGTATGTGTGACAAGTTAGGAGAGCAGTTCTGGATTTTGCAGGGTGGGGGATGTGGTTTTATTTAATCTGGTTTCTAAATAAGGTTTTGAAACACTTTGAGCAAACAAAGCTTAACACCAATATCCTGGATCAGCAGCATATTTTTATGAGAAATATTACAATATCAAGAGGAGGTTCAAGTGTAAATTTCTCAGTTAAGCCTTGTTTTCAAATTCAACATGCAGTGTGTGTAAAGTGTGAATATAAAATGACTGTACTGGTTTAAATAAAAGGCCAGTCTGTTCTATCAGCATGTTTCTGGTGGTAAGCAATAATGCATGCCTAGGGAAAAGTGCAAAACCAAGGCAAATGGCATGTTAATACTATTTAACTACCTTGCTGCACACTGCTGTAACCTGACAGCTTGAGCTTTTTGTTTCTCTTTTTGATCATGACTTAAATTTATACAAGATAACTTCTTATTTCTAATAGCTTCCCTTCCAGGCTGACTGATTTCCTAAAATTCTTTCCTTTTGATCTTTCAGTATATTTTCTTTTAGTCACTGTCTTACAGTCGGTAAAGACGTTACCTTTTTCTGTCAACAAAACCAGCTGCAACCAACTTCTTCATATTTTTCTAGTTCCCTTTTTAAATTTAACCTTAGTAATGGTGTAGTTCTCACATTTATTGTTCCTGCAGAGATAGTGGATTGAAATACCCTGTGATCCATGAGCAGGCATGGAGAGTGTCTTCTATTTAGTTGTCACATAACACTCCCACTGAGAGTTTTCCAGCCTAAACTGGTTAAGCAAAGGATTCCTATAATCTCACTTCTAGAGGAGTTGTCATCTTAAATCATCTGTGGTTCTGCATTTAGCAGCTTTCATTGCTTCTCCAGTCTATTAACCCTTACAAAGCCATTCTCAAGTGCCAGCAGCTTGCTTATATTTCAGTTGAGATGATTTCTCATTTTCTCATTTAACTGGAAGTCTGTCTTGTTTATAGAGGAACACTCTATTCCAGAAGTTTCTTACCATATTTTCTTGGCCATCCATTGTGTTTTTAGTCTTCAAAAAATACCTAAATTACATAAGCTTCACATTTACATTTTATTTAGCATAATAGACAATATAATCTCAAACTTTTTGCTTGTTGTGAAAATATTTTTGGAGTAGGAACAATTTTTTAGTTTTAAAAAGCTGTAAGTACATTCAATATGAGAATGTTGTGGAAAACCATAGACACTTGAATCTTTCTCCTTAGAAAAATCTGAACCCCTGGGGCTATTTTAATACTGCTTTGGAATGAAAAATTGCTTGGCAGAGAAGTCAGGCAATCTCCCATCACTTTATTTACCTTTTTATTTTATTATTGACAGACAGTGCGTGCCATTTCCTATTTTAATAGGACTTCTGGGTTTCATAACAGAAAAGTGTAATCCCTGCCCCACAGCAGGGCAACAAAAAGCATTGTTTTCAGCAAAGTGGTTTCTACAGCAATACACAAATATTGTCAGCTTGGTATGTATTTGTTCCTACTGTGAAGTTGTGTGGGTTTTGTAGGAGGGTGCACTGAGGGGCTTCAACCAGACTGTGCCAATGGGATTTTTGTCAGGCCAAGCTGGAAACCACAGCTGGTTTTACACTGCCTGGTGAGTACTGCACCCCTGGGCCACTCACTGCCCAGAGCAGTCAGTTGGTGCATCCTGTAGCCGTTGTCTGTCCTGCCTCTGGGTTTTGTTTCTGCAGAAGAAACAGCAAAGCTGGTTTTTAACCTGTCTCTTACCCAGATGTGTGGCTGAGATGTGGCTGGATGCAAATACAGCAGCAAAGTTTTCGTGGTGCCCAGGAGTCTTCCAGTTCAAATATAACCTACAGTGCTGCTCTTGGGGTTGGTGGCAGTAGGGTGGGATTTTGTCATCTGTGTTTTGTGCTAGACTTCAGTTCCCTTTGCAGCTGCTGCTAAAACCAAATCAGGAAGAGGCTTAGAGCTGTTTTTTTTCAGAATGGGGTTGTATCAAAGACTGTTCGTCCTGTGGTGGAGGTTGTAGAACCCTGCAAGCGATAAAACTAACATCTTTTCTGCATGCAGTTGTCTCAATCTGCTGAATATTAGAACAAGAGAGCATTTGTTTAAACTAAAAGAGGTTTTGCAGAAAACTTCCATGTGAAAGTTGTTATTTTTCTGTAACATTTTGAAAATTGATGCGATGGGAAACAGAAAAAAAACCTCACCGATCGTGAAAACTTTCTCAAGCTGTGCTAATTTTTTTAATAAGTGTTTTAGTTGGGATGTTCAGTTTTAGTTAACTTTATTTTTGCAGAGTTCAGCATCAGCAGAGCATGCCTTGATCTATAAGAAGACTTGGTGATACTTCAGCTTGCGAATGTTTCTTAGAAATGATGGAGTGGCAACCAGTTAGGTCACAAAATGTCACATATTCTAGACTTCAAGAAATAAAATTGAGCCTACTGCTCAAGGTGATCATAGAATCACAGACTCATCTGAGATTGTCAAGTCCAGCCCTTGATCCAACCCTGCCGTGGTTCCCAACCCATGGCACTGATGCTACATCCAGTCTCACCTTAAACACCTCCAGAGATGGTGACTCCACCACCTCCCTGGACAGCTCATTCCAGTGTCTGATCACTCTCTCTGTAAAAAATTTCTTCCCAATGTCCAACCTAAACCTCCCCTGGCACAGCTTAAGACCGTGCCCTCTTGTCCTGCTGCTGGTTCCTGGGAGAAGAGCCCGACCCCCACCTGGCTACAACCTCCTGTCAGGTACTTTTAGAGAGTGATGCTGCTCATGGTTGGTTTGCCAGACTGTTGAACTCTGAGCCTGACAGTGTCTTTGAACCACTTTTCCAACTGCTTTCTAGACTTTTTGCAGAACTGCATGTTTGTTCAGATGCTAATGTGATGGAAGCTGAGCAGACACACAGTTATTCCATGTGAGTGTTAAAAACTGAGAACTAAAGCCTGAAATAGCAAGGGATCTGTATTGCTTCTCTGTTAAAAGAGTTTGTTCAGCATTTCTGAGAAACCACATCCTTTTGAAATATCTTGGGTTGGGAACCAGAGTTACTTTCAGAAGAGCAGGCAATTGTTCTCCAGTAAATATCTCCAGTAAAGGTCTTCCCAGGTAGTTTGGGGGACTTCTGATGATACAGGTTTTGGTAGTTAACTGATAATTTCCAGGATTCTTAGGTCACATCTCATTTATATTTTCTGGACCTTTTCAAGGGCAGCCAGAGGTGCTGTGTATATTGGTAATGTGCTGGTTTGTCCTAACTTCTGCATGCAGATTTGCATAATGCAGTCATGCATTGTCAGAATAACTCTAACTCAAGTATTATGTTTCTATTGTCAAAGATACCTCCTCTTGCTGCTTTTAGGCAAGGCTAAATTGCATCCTGATTTTTATAGGTAATTGGTTTTTGCAGCTTTATCCTCTCTTTAGCTAAATCATAAATATGTAGCTGGAGAAAGTCCCAGTTGTTGTGCTTGCATTAAAGAATATTTTTTAGACGAGAATTGTAGTTCTTAAAATAAATGGTAAGGCTTTCTGGGGAACTTGGCTTTAGCACTGCAGATATATTGTACAATGACATTAGATTCCAATGTAGCTGTCAAACAGGAAAAATAACGTGGGCTGGGTTTGTACCTTGACTTACTGTTGTGCCTGGAGTTGGAGGGGAAGAAATCCCAGGACTGCACAGAACAAAGACTTGATAGAGGAGGGACAAGCCTAGTTGATATTCAATGTCATTGTAAATGTAACTGTGTAGTGGGAAATGTATTTTTGAATTCCTGTCATTCTTCTATTTTCTGTTGTAATTGCATATTAAGCAATAATCTTTTAGTATCTTAAGTCTCTTTTGTGTATTAATTATATGCAGTAGCATCTGCTAAAACTGAATTATTTTACACTTCTTGCAACACCTTAATTTTTAGGAGCATGACAAGAATATCAGTGAGTACTTTTATCTCCTCTTACTGCAGGGAAAATTTTGACTAAAAAAGGATTTTTTCTTTTTTTCTTTGCTTGTAGATCTTTCAAAGAACAGATTTACTGAAATTCCTCCTGATGTCTGGCTGTTTGCACCACTGGAAACTTTAAATTTGTATCACAACTGCATCAAATTCATTCCAGAATCTATTAAAAACCTGCAAATGCTCACCTACCTTAACATTAGGTGAGTAATGGTGGTTATTTTTGATCCTATATAACTTATCTCATTGGGGAGTTGGCTTTTTACTTCACCAGGTCATTGAGTTTGCATTGATGTTTGCATTGAGTTTCTTTTTGATGTTATGCAGACAGGCAGTGTTCAGAAACTACAGGTGTAAAAACTTGGTGCTCTCAAGAGCATTCTTTACATCCACTGCTGTATTGCTCTTTTTAAACTTGGAAAACATATGGTTGGCTCTTCTCACCAGAACAGAAGAGGGATACGAGCTCTGGAAGGAGAGGGAATCTAAAAGAACCCACCTGACCTTGTTTTCCACAATATTCCTTGTTTCTGGTATTGACTACATCAAGTCCAAAACAGATTTCTCAGTTAAGAGCTATTTAAATCCCTGAAACCTGCTGTGTCTCAAAATGTGCAAATATCAGTCCTCAGAGTGATAATTCGAGCGTGATGTGCTCTGTGGCAATTCTAAAGAGCCTTAATATGATCTAAAACTGCAGCATTTTCTGAAGGAAATTTGACCCAACTTCCTTCAGCAGCAGCCCATTTCTCTTTTGATGGTGTCTGAGGTGCTGGATTCATTTCTTTGCACAGAAAAGATGTGTAGTTCTGACTGAGCTTTGCATGTTCTTTCAAGAGTCGACTCTCCTGACCATCCTTTTCCCAGCTGTGCTTTGTCTGTCTCTGTGCTCATGTCCAGGGCCTGTTTTCCCAGTGCAGGAACACGTGGGCTGTGGGATTGGGGAACAGGCTCAAATCCTGCCCTGCTGCTTCAGGTGCTTTGTTACAGAAGAAAACCACATGATCCTAAATTCTAATTTTGGATTCAGATGGTGGAAAAAATGTATTGTGCAATTCATAGTAAAGCAGGCAGCTCCTAAAAAAAACCCAAACCAAAAAAAAGGAGGAAATCTGTTGAAGTGGCACAGGGAACAACTTTCATTGCCACGTTTTTATAATCCATTCAAAAAAATGCACTTGCACATTATATTTTTGATTCTTATGCTCTCCAACTAAAAAGCCTGGCATATCTGCCTGAAATACAACATAAAAAGAGACTTAATGCATACCTATATCAAAAACTTATTTGTGTTCACTTAGAATTAACAGAATAATACATTGGTTTCATAGAGATACTGTTGGAAGTTTCATTTTATGGTATAAAAATTGCAGTCTGTCTTTGAAGCTGAAATGTGGCAAGGACATAAATTTATTTTTGTTGGTTTTGCAGCCCTATAAACTGCAGTCATGGAGAACATAATCTAAAAAGGTTGGGGTTTTTAATAGGAAAACAGTACCTTGGGTTTTTTTTAATAGGAAAACAGTTCCCTGAATGTCAATTAAGCACTAAAACTTCCAGTTTTTTCATAATGTTGTGTGAACACAAATATCAGCACTTAAATTATTTTTTGTCAAAAATAGAATTAGTTCTACTTAAATCAACAGCAAGTACTGATTTTTTTTATTTTCATTTTACCTTTCTATGTGAAAGGAATTGCTTTCATACCATACCTGAACAACCTTATTTTCCAGTGACTTCTTTTAAATTTACAAGTACCTTATTAGAAAAACTTGGTGTATTTCTGACAGTGGCAGTCCAAGAATGTTGGCGGGTTTTTCCATATGGATTTAAATCAAATAGTGGGTAAGAGTGTATTTCATGTGTACAAAGCAGATAGATGTGGTGTCAAACATCATTTTTTTTAACAGATTTCTCTGCACATTTCAGCATTAGATTCTCTCCTAGCACATACTCATTTCATCAAGCAAAATTGGGATCTAAAGTTCACATACCTGAGAGAGGCTGTATCTGGTGAGGAATTCTTGGTGGAGATTGTAGCTGAAATGTAAATGAAGTCATAATAGGTGGAGAATGTCTTCTGTCCTAGGAGAAAAGTTGTGCAATGTGCATCTCAGACTCCCTTTGAGGCTTAGAAAAAGGAGATTATAATCCAGCCTTGCTTGTCCCTTTTTCTTTCTCTCAAGTCGAAATCTTTTGTCGACGTTGCCAAAATACCTGTTTGATCTTCCACTGAAAGTTCTGGTTGTCAGTAATAACAAGCTGGTCTCCATTCCAGAGGAAATTGGGAAGCTGAGGGATCTGATGGAGTTGGTAAGTACAATTGTGAATCTTTATACTTAAAGTAAACTTATAAACAGTGTATTTTCAGTATAATTATAGATTAATATTTTTAAAATACGGAACTACAAAATTGAAATTCAGTTACTGTGTTTTATTGGGTTTTGAGATGAAATTAAAGGTAAAATATATTGTATCTCAAAAATAAGGTTAAACAGAAATCAATATGTTGGGTCAACTAAATCTTAAGGGAGGGGCTCATAAATAAAATTGCTTTTGAGATGATTTCATAAATAAAATTGCTTTTGAGATGATTTCATAAATAAAATTGCTTTTGAGATGATTTCATAAATAAAATTGCTTTTGAGATGATTTCATTTGAGCCCCTTGCTTGTATGTTGTTAAAAATGATGAATTTTACTGTTTACCTTCTTTACAGTAGTCATAATTCTATTTATTTGCTTTGTATGTTATCAGGAATATTATTTCCAGCTGAAGAGTTCATCTCTGTATTCTGATACAAGTTCTGGCCTTCAGTCATTGTTATCTTGTTCTGTGGGTTGGTTCCCCCCCCTCACATTTCTGCTCTTTCTTTATTTTGTTTGGGGTGAATGGAATGATAAGCAATATTCACAATCTGTGCAACACGTGGCATACTAAGATTTTGTGCTTTGTCATCCATTACTTTTTCGATATTTTGGCTTTTCTGATCATTGCTCCCTGTTAAGCTCCTGTGTTTTGGAGAACTGTGCAGAGTCAGTCACTGACCTGGCACTTGCACTGGGTCTGATTTTTTTTTTTAATTTATTTATTTTTTTTTTTTTTTTAATATGTATGATTTCTGTAGTCATTGCAAGGCGTCCTTATCCTGTTTCCACAGTAGCTGTGTATTCTCTGGAGGGTCTTTTAATATGATCTTATGTCTAAGCTATAAATCAACATTCTTTTTTAGCTTACAAGTACTCTGAGACATTCAGAGTATTCGTGAGGCTTTTCTTGTGTCCTTTACTCTTTGGTGAGACATTCCTTGTGCTCCCTTCAATGTCAGAGGATTTCAAGGTGTCATCACTGCTTTTGTTTATAGGAAGTGAATGTTTTTCATGGTTGCAGTTGTGGTAGTTTGGGCTTATTTTTCAGAATTGTCAAACCTAGAATGTGTCCTTGATGATGCAGATTAGGGACATACTAGAGAGAGTTTTATTCCAGTACCTGTCTAGGACATAAGAATATATTTTATACATTTAAAAAAAAAGTTTATGACTATGCCTTGTGCTCGAAAGGTGCTTTTATGAAGGGAATCCCATCTCAGCTGTGGTGACATGGACAAAGAACTTGCAGTGGATCCATGATGGTGCATCCCAAGCAGCCTGTACTTCCTGGGACCCCCAACTGTGTGCAGGCACCATGGTTGCCAAAAGCAATGGGCAGCCCTTAAGCTGAAGCTCTGCAAGTGTGTAATGAAGGGGCCTGGATTCATCTCTTAAGGCCTGGCTTAGTTGCTGACTAGGCTTGCCTTTAAAATCAGCTTCCAGGTTTTCATCAGACAGAGATATCTCTCTGTTGACTTGTCTAGGAAAACCAGAATTCTCAGCATTCTGTTTTATTGGTTTAGAATTCAAAAGGTTGAGAAAGATTCTTAGCAATGTGATTGTTTAATCCCTCTGGTCTACATAAATTAATGTTTAATTACTGTCAGAAATAGCTGTAGTCTGTGTACACTTGGTGCAGCTTTGTCACCCCTGTAGTGCTTTTATCCAAAAAGTTGGTGAGCCTGTTGTTGCTCTCTGTAAATCTTTAGTTGTATGGGTTGGCTGAAGGTATTCTAAGGAAAAAAGAGTTGTTAGAACAGGAGCAGAATGACAGTCCCAGCAGTAACACAAGAAGTTTGTAGCTGATACAGGAACTACACCAGGAACTCGTGATTCATAGTCTGCAGTTTTAATCTTCAAACCAGTATTTCATCATTCATTGATGTGACTTCTTGAATTGAATCTCTGAAACATGAATCATTAATAGTCAGGCAACAGCGAGATGTGTTATGGTACCTCTTCTCTGTGGAAAAACCAAGGAGTTGGGATTTTTCTTTTACCATAGTTTTGATAGCAGTATTCCTTTGTGAAATTTCATTTAAGATGTTCACTTGATGTATTAATTATGTCTTTCTTAGGATATTAGCTGTAATGAACTTCAGGTCCTTCCCCAGCAAATAGGAAAATTGCAGTCACTTAGAGAATTGAACATAAGAAGAAACAATCTCCATATGCTGCCAGATGGTAAGCTACTCATCTTCTTTCCATTAATGTGGGTAAATTAGGTGAAGTATTAAGAAGATAACTTATGTCTTTTTTTTGTTTGTTTGTTTATTTTCCTGAGTGCAGAACTAGGGGACCTTCCCTTGGTAAAGCTGGATTTTTCGTGTAATAAAATTACAGAAATTCCGATTTGTTACAGAAAGTTACGTCACTTACAAGTTATACTTTTGGATAACAATCCAATGCAGATACCACCAGCACAGGTTAGTATTGAAGTATTCTAGTACAGAAATTTGCTTTATCATCTTAGGGGAAGCTGTTCTAAGTTATACCAATCAAGTTTTCCTGTTTTTCGGCTCCTACTGGGAAGTTGTGGGTACAAATGCAGTGTAGAAAGTGTTTCTTGGGGTGTATTTTCCAAAGACATGCAATGTAATTAAGATTTTTATTTGTTCATTTGTTTCCCAACAGATATGTTTAAAGGGTAAAGTACATATATTTAAATTCCTCAGCATCCAGGCGTGCCTCAGAATAGACAAAAAACCAGATTCTTTGGATCTTCCATCATTAGGTAAACGAGTCCCCTCCCAGCCACTCACAGACAGGTGAGTAGTGGGGGGGTTGTTTTATTTTACTTTGGCATTTGTTATTAAATGATCTGTTTATTAGAGATAATACCTATCATTTCAGTACTTTAATTGTTCTTTATTTGGGCGCTGTAGTATTTATTTTCTGTAACTGGAAACTTAATTGGCTCATCTGAATTGCTATGAAAAGTTTTCATTGTACTCGCTAAAGATGTAGAAATCAGAACAAAGATGTTTAATAGACCAAAGTTTTTAAATTTATTTATTGGAAATCTCAGGTATTTTATTCAGAACAGAAGAGGAGAATTGCCCATAAATGTCCTGAATACAATTAGTCTGTTGGATGGAAAGTCTGTCTCCCATATATATATTAAGGGAAACTTAACTAAAGCCCACAGTATTTCACAAATATTTTTTATTAAATTTAGTTGAGGTCAGAAAGTGAGGGATGTTTTGTTGGATTTTTCTACTGACTCTCCCTTGTGCAAAAATTCTGTATCAACAACTGTAGCTGAGTATAGAGAGCATATTTTGAAAAGGATGTTTGTTTTCTTTTAGGAAAGGGACACTACTGTTTCTTTCATTCTTGTGTGGGGGTTTTGTGTGTTATTTTTCTTACTGTAGCATGGAGGACTTTTATCCCAATAAAAATCACGGACCAGACTCTGGCATTGGAAGTGATAATGGAGATAAAAGGTTGTCCACCACAGAAGTGAGTATTGTTCAGCTGGGTTTGTAATTTCTGGTTTTTAGACCTTTCCTTTTGTATTTTGTATCAGTTGAGAAATTCCTAAGTTGCATTTAACATTCTTTGAATGTCTGTACAGTTGAGTTTAAACCATATAATAATATAATTTATATGTCAGTTCTGTACTAAAAGTGAGTGTCTTTGCAGCCATCTGATGATGATACAATCAGCCTTCACTCCCAGGTATCAGAATCAACAAGGGAACAGACATTAAGGAATGACAATCATGTCATGGGGAGCAAACTTGATCCACAGAAAGGTAATACCTGTTGTGCATCTGTCATTTTAGGTAACAGAGGTACTTTGCTTGGGTAATATCATGCAGGAAAATGGCACAAAATTATATGATCATGGGTTGGCATTGTATTTTCATCATTTCAGAAAACAATGTAATAATCACAAATAGACAAGGCTAGAGAGAAAGAAAAGATTATTTCTAGCTTAAGGAGACAAAATTTCTATGTTTTATCTGTGTCTGACATTTTTCATAAGTGCTTAACTCTCTTAGGAGTAACATTTGGTCGAGAGAACTGTTTAATATCTTTTCTGTTCTTCACAAATCCTCACTAGACCAGGAGGCCTATGACTACATTGATCCAAATGCAGAAGAGGGAGCTCTTCCTGAGCAGGGAGATGCACAGATTGGCACATTGCTCTCCTATGTCAAGGTACCATAGATTGACAAAAGAAAAAAACTGTTCAGCAAGCTTGAGTTTATTTTTTCTTAATTCAATTCTAAGGATTTTTTTTTTTCATTCTGTGTAAGGAACGGGCAAAACATCCTGAGAAATCCCAGAAAATAGAACAGAATGAGGACTGGGGAGATGAAAAAAGGTAAATCTTGGTCTTCTTGGGTAGGTTTTGCTGGTGGCGGCAGAGGTGAGAGTGGTTTTCTTTTAAGTTTCTTCCTATGGAAGAAAGAAATCTCGTATTGAACACCAAGTACTTGGAGAGAAAATAAGCTTAAAGGCAGTGCTGCTTACTTGTCCAACAACGAGGCATTTCTGTGTCTTGCTTCACTGAAGTCAGGTCACTAATGTTTAATTTTTCAGGCTTCAGAAAGAACAGCTGCTGGCTGAAGATGATGATGAACTCAAAGAAGTGACTGACCTGAGAAAAATAGCAGCCCAGTTACTGCAGCAAGAACAAAAACACAGGTACTACAATATTAGTTAAAATAACTTGTGTTAATTTACCCAGCAGCTCCTGACACCTTATCTTGAGAACAGTTTTGTCCAGCTGTTAAACAGTTAAAGTTTATCTGACTCTATCAAATGGCTGTCCTATGTTACTTTTCATAAAATCGCTGTCTAAAGAAGCAATGATAAACCTCCTATGGAGAGAAAGAGATGAATGTGAAAGTGTCTTGATTTCCTGATTTGATGTATGTTAACTTTTTTTATACTTTTTTTCTTCAAAGCAGTAGACTTAAGTGGGCTGGTTAATGCTCAGGTAACATGATCATTGGTAACATGTTAAAATTACTTTCTTAGATTATATGAATTACAGAACCTGCATACAGTTTGCTTGTGACTGGTTCTTTTTATTCAAATACAAGCTAGTTGAGGTGGTACTTCCTCCATTCAGTCTGATGTGAGTTATAAATATCCTGTGAACTGAAGGGGAAACTTGTTTGAACGTTGTTCTGTCAAATGACAGTATGTCTGTGTTATAAATGCATGTAAAAATAAATCATTTCAACTGCCTGCCTTTCTCTGCTTCATGTTGGGCATCTCAACAGAATGATACTTGAAAAAGAGCTGTAGAACAAGCAGCAGGAATGTAGTAGAACAAGTTAACAACTGTGTAAAATGTAGAACAGGAAGGAATACCTGGAGCTACATAGGATGTGGACAGGTGAGGGTAGGAACAATGTTCTATATGGTTCCTTTACCAAGCAGGCAAATACTGTGAGGCACTTTGAGAGTAAGCTCTTTTAAGGGAGCTAAAAGTTGTATCCCACAGTAATGGATATAACTTCACACCACCTTAAATACTATTTTTGTTTCTTTGGGATTTCTGTGTAATTATGAGACTCTGCATGGCCATTTTTCTTTGAAGAGAGTTGAAATACATGTGAAGCCCTCAGGGAAACAGAGATCCTGATACTATGAATTGCAGGGCTTTAAAAATTCACCAGCATTTTATATTAGGTAAATATAGTAACAGTAGTGTGTGTGTAAAATATATAATAGGCTTTACTTAAAACTCCATGCTCTGCATTCAAAATTTGGTTGTTCACATAAAGAAGGGTAAAACAGGAATGAAATCTTAATGCTAATATATTCTTATTACCAAAAGTATTGCAAGTAAGACCAAGAATGCTAAATTTTCTCATTATAATTTATTACTAAAGAGAGAATGAGCGTGTTTTTCTTATCTTAGGTTTTTATGTGATGGTTATTTATGTTGCATGTGGGTCTTGTTTGATTAAATATTTCCTGGTTAACTAATCATTTGAAATTCCAAGCCACTCCTCTTCTGAAGCACTGCAACTTAAATTTTACTCCTCATATGTTGTTGTGTCTTAATGCAATGATGTTGCTGATGGTTCTTTGTCTTGAATCATGCAGATGTATGCAGTCTTGTTTGTTCTTGTTTTACTTCTTAATTTAGCATTTATATTTTAAAATTTACTTAAGTGTCGTTAGGTACACGGGGACAGAATCACCCCTATATAAAATTTAGCCCTGCTTTTGAATCCATATTTTTTAAACAACAAGAAGAATAATATTTAGTATTTAGTGAAAATCCTGTGTTTAGTTGTGGAAAATATGTTCAACCAGTAAACAGAATCCTCAGAAAAGTTAAGCATCACAAAATAATTCCTTACTAATCATGTTTCTGTTCGTTCAGTGTGTGCTTTTGTAATATTATGCAGTCTCTTTTCTTTTTGCTTGCTATGCTAATGACTTCCCTGTCCTCTCCCATCAACCTATCCTGCTTCCTCCTTCCGTCTTTGGCTTTGGTGTCCATGAAATGTGAATACAGACGAAGGCCTTTAAGCTATAGAACTTCATTCAGTGAGAAACTCTTCCAGAGGACAAGGGCGGCAGGACGTGCATCCAGGTATAAAGGGTTTGTAGAGCCTCAGGTTGCCAGGGTTCAAATGGGGACAAAAGGAACAGTTTTGGCCATTTCTAGAAGAAAAACGGAGCAAAAGGATTGGTTGAGTTAGCCTAAGGGTTTGTTAGCAAAAACAGTTTGCAATACGTTTTTTGTTCTTTAGGATGAAATACTGTTAAAGGGAAATATTTTAGAAGTTACCTTGCCCCTCACCAGGCAACAGTTGTGGAATGTCAGGAGTGAGAGACCAAGAACTGTAATTCTTTATACAGACAACAAGTGTTCAAAGTCAGATTTTGCTAAGCATTGCAAAGCAGTTCTCCCATTACTAAAGCTATATCTTAAAAATGGTAATCACCACCTGGCATACTCCATCAACACATTCATAATAAGCCTAGCTCATAATAAACTCAGTCATTAATTATATACATGCTGCATAGAAACAGTGTGTTTATACATAAATAAAAATGAAAAGTGTGTTTATATATATATATATGTTTGAATTTGCTAGAATAGTTTTTCCTTACATTTCATGTAATGAGTTTAAAAAAGGAATGGCCTGTGTTACATACAATCATTGCATTTACACTATAGTGTCAGTTTTGGTGCAAGTTTTGCATCAGAGTCAATTTTTTTTCTTTTTTAATTTTAATGGTCTCTTGCTACAACGTCTCTGAGAACATAAAGCTAGTTTAAATAGGGATTCTCTCTAAAAAATGATGACTTTAAAATAGCATGTTTATATGCTGGTTTGATAACCAATGCTCTGAATATTATTTTTTGTAACAGTTTTCTCAGGCTGTAATATAATTTAATTCTGGAATGCACCCTCAAAACTAAGTTTCTGAAGAGCAAGTATATGGAGCAGATGCTGCAGATTGAATACAGCAGACTTGGTTTACAGGCTTAACTTCTCATAATCCCATTACATTGAGGGTCACACAGTGAGAGAATTAAACTGCAAATGAGATTGCTGAGCTCAAAGTTACCAAATAATCAGAGAAGCTTGATTGAAAAATCATCAGTCATTTACAGTTAATGACTGTACTGCCCTATGTAATGGTAACGAAATACAAAAAGGTGCTTACTGTTTTACTTTGTTCTGTTGCATAATTGGTTGTGTTCTGATTCTTTCTGATTCTTATTCCATTCTAGTTCTCTCTATAATTTGGCCTAAATATACTTTGATCACAGTTCTGCACATGAAGTCAGTGTTGAAGTGTCCTATCACTACCTTCAAGAACTCAGAAGTTTTCATTCAAGTTACTTTTCAATGTTTAGTTTTAAGTGTTACCGATGGTTTTGTTATTTTTAACACTTAAAACATCCACAATAGCTCTTATCATCTTCCTGTGCACACAGACCTGTGGTATGTATTTGTTTCAGAGGAAAAAACACTTCTGAATCGAAATTTAGGCTTTTTTTACTCGCTACCATTTAGAAAAATGAAATTTCCATTGGTTCACTTCTGTGTTAGACTTTTCTTTTGGTTTTAGTCTGTGTTTCTGCATTTTCCAGCTCTCCTTTTCCCCTGTATTTCCTTTGCACTTGCAGTGTTTCTTACTAAGATACCTTCTGACCTGCTCCTACTGACTGCCTTTTTTTGTGCTCAATCTGTGTATCCTTTCTGGTTTAGATTGATTATCTTTTGTCTTTTAATTTTAGTGAGCAATGGGGCTTTTTGTGTTGAGGGCAGCATAACTTAACACAGGTGTGAGATCTGTCGAAATAATCTGTATTTATGGAGACAAATAAGGAAACTTCATTTTGGTTTGAATTACTTCCTTAAAATATAGAACTTGAAATAGTTCAAGAGCCAGAAAGAATATTGTTGATTCAAATGGAAGCAAGAATGGGCATGAATTTCATATGTGTACACATATCTTAGTTTTATGGAAGATATTAATGCTGAAAACTTTTCATTTACAGGAAATGTTATGCAGTGAAAGTAACATATTCTAAGAAAAAGGGTTTAAATATTTTTTTTTTCTTTCTAGGCTTCTTAATCACTCAGTTTCAGTAAACACAAGGAACAGGCCAAAGCAGCCAATGGAATCTGAAAAATGGTATTGATATTAAGTGTATCATAGCATTCAATATTTTATTAATTTCATTTTTGTTAATTGTGTCACTGCTGCCATCTTCTGTTATAATGTTTTTAGCTCACAGTGAGATTGAAGGTACAAGAATAATCTATTCTTGAGCTTCTTTCTCTTAGATAACAAAAAACCCAAACCTGTTCTTTTGAGCCTTTAGGAAAGTTGGTGTCATCCAGAAACTAATCTGTAGGTCTGATGATGCTGCTGATTATGGCAGCGATTCAGGTGCCTAAGGATAGACATTCATTTCCAGTTTAGACATCCAGTCCCAGTCCAGAAGGTTGTATCTCCTCCTGTAGTGACAGTGCTGTGCAGATGTGTCAGATCCTGTGTTACACAAGGTGGCACTGGAACTGTGCTCAGGCATCTAAATTTTCTTCCTTGGCAGTTCTTTTGGGCTTTTAAGAGCAGTTGGAGAAGTGTTATTGGGAGTTCAGCCTAAAAACCTTTATTGTTTGTGGAGCATGTGTCAATGAGGAATCCATTGTTTGCAGGAGCTGTGCTTTTATGCTTTTCCTTTGGAATAAAAAAAAACCCAAACACAAAAAAGCCTCCACAGAAAACAAAAAAATCCCACAAGCCATCAACAACCAAAAATACCCAAATTTTGCAGTTTCACTGTCCCATTTTGAAATGTTTTTCCCTGCTTCAATAGTATAAGCTGCTTCTTTATCATGTAGAGCTAACAGTGAAATTAAATATGTGAGTCTTCCACACATTTAAGAATAGATCTTTTGTCAGCTTTGCAGAAAGTTTGTCACTGGTTGCTTTAAGAAACAAAACAATGAAGGTGCATTAGTAAATCTCTAAAAGATCAACATCCTTAAGAAACAGCTTCATGTGAATTAAAGTGCTGTAGTGTGTAAGGCCTATTGTCAACTCATGGTAAAGGAGTGAGATATGATTTGAGATTCTAGGCAAGTGGTCATGCTTTTAAACCACATTTTGAAGCTACTTTTTAAGTGTTCACTTTTTCTTTTATATTTTAAAGTAACGTGGTTTTAAAAAGTAGTACGTTTCATAATGCCTCTCATCTTACTTTTTAGTGTCTCAGCAAATGAAGTGAATTCCCCAGTGTCCCCATACAGCTGGCAGGTAAATACTCAAATGGAAATGTGCTGGCTTTATATTTGAGTGCTTTTTTGGTTTTGTTGTTGTTATTTGCTTGGTTTTGTCTTTATGACAGAAAACTTACATACATTTGTATGGTTGCTTATGCATATAGTTATTGAAGGTGTCTAATTATGGTGGAAAATAAAAAACCTTTGAAGAGCTTATGCCTCAAAGATAATTTGACTTGTATGTAATGGAGGCTTTTTGTTTTAATAGAATATGGTACCAGCTTGAAGATCTTGAAACTAATGAGACATAAGTTTTGCTTGGTTTTAGTATTTCTTCCCACATGCATGTATTGCCTCACATAATGTTCAGTTTGGTTTATAATGTAAATTCTAAATGGATTGAATTATGTAGGCCTTTTATTCTCCATACCTCAGTGAGAAGCTTGCATGATATGATAAAATTCCAGTTAAGCTGTAGAGAGTACTTTTTTATTATTTTAGGTTTTAATCTATCAGTTATTTACAATGGCTTTAAATGCCTTCATATTCCAATAAGAAACAGTTGAAAATGTTGGTTTAGCCTTATGAAACTGTCTGCTCAGATTGTCTGCTTTCAGTTTTCATAAAGTAGACAGTCATATATATTCATTATTATTTTAATAATTCATCTACTTTAACTGTCTCCTCGGTATATTTGCATAACACAGTACTTTGAAAGAGAGATTTTTTTACAGCTTGTTGAGGTGTATAATGTTTTAGGCAGGAACAACTGACAGATACTCAAATTGTCTTGTAGCTGTCCTTTTTCAGTGCAATGAGCATTCACATGGAGAAGTTAGGTGTGCTAGTGGCTAACCACACTGGAAACTTGTTTATTTTTGGCAACCTTAGGTGCCTTCCTAACCTGCCTGCAAAAATGAGTCTCAATGCAGAAAAGTGTGTCATTTTCTGAGGAATTATTTCATAGAGTCTTTTTCTTCCATGAAGTATATTTTGGAATTTGAAAGGAAATTTCTGCCAGTCACCATGAAGGCTGGGCACCTGTTCAGGTCATAAAGTTGGATTGAGAGAGGCAAACAATTAATAGTTGTAGTTCATAATCGTTCGTGCTAATGCACAAGAGGTATATTTACCTTTTACATAAAAATATTTCTGACCATTATAGCCACTGGAAAACCAGAAGGATTCAGTGAATGAGCAGCATTGGCCAGAAACACAGCCAGTGATCTGGCAGAATGAAGAAAGAAGGAGAAGTAAACAAATTAGAAAAGAATATTTCAAGGTAATGGGGGGAAGTGAGGGTGGGTGCCACATTTTTTTATAAGAGTAGAAGAAACTAGTAAAGATATCTAAGTAAAGATAAATCCTCCATGGTTATGATGCTTTTAAATTTACCTGTAACATGATTTTTTTTATTTTACTCTTTTGATTTAATATGTTTATGTATGTATTGAGAATGCAGGAAAATCAAGAGGGAGAACAAATTGACCAAAGAATTTGTTTATCCTTTAAATAAAAGGAACTAATTCACAACTGTCTTCTGATAAAACCAGAAACTAATCTTGTCATTGGTCCTTCACTGCCTGTTTGGAGGAATTTCTATTTATCTATCTATTTATTTATCCATTTATCTATTTTTAGTGCAAGGAAAATACACATTGCCTTTTTTTTTTTTTTTTTTTGCAACGTGGTTATAAGAATGATTTATGTCTTCTGGTTCTCATGGTATTAGTTTGAATTTCAGAAGGGGAATATTCTCTGTACTCCTTTGCTGCTGTAGTTTCCACCCTCGGTCACCAGGTGCCAGTGTCTGCTCACTGCAGCACAGAGGGGAAGTTGGAGCAGCGTTGGGTAACATTTATTTTGGGGTATGTAGAGAAATAGGAGATTTCTGAGCAGTGCTAGGTTGAGTTAAAATTAAATTTGCCACTTATGAAATTAGTTTCTTGGGTCTTTGCCATCAAATATCTTTGTGAAATGCCAGGGAACTTCAAAGAAATTAAATTCTTGGGAGAACAGAGCGAGCCATACAGCTTAGATACATTGTTGTGATTACAGAAGTTTTTTTTTTTTTTTTTTTTTTTTTTTTCTAAAGAGTTTTTGGAGCTGTATCCTCTTTCCAGGGTTTTCATCCTGAAATTAATTTTGCACTACAACCTTTAAGGAGAGGCAGAGAAATTTCTAAGTAAAACAGAATTCAGTCATTGGACTTGTTCAGCAGCTGTGCTACGAATACAGAAGTGCTTCCTCTTAACTTACAAGGATGTCTTTAAATGCCAGTCAGTTTTGAGCTCTGTGAAGGAAGCAGATGCCTGAAATCACATTACATACAGCTATAGACATGTCTCAAAAGTGAATTAAACAGGCTGTACCAGTAACAAAATACACTGTATCACTCATAGTTTCATTTGCAAAAACAAGGCAATAAGCAAGTGAAACAGAGTCTGTCTTCCATGGCAAACTGGGAAAAAATAAGAACCACTGCTGTTCTGAGAAACCAGTGACAACACAGTTCATATTGTGTCCATGTTTTCATGGCAAAAAAGTTGATTGAATAATCATATCTGTAGTGCCAAACACTAATATCTTAAGAATACATGCCAAATTACTGCAGTGGGTGTCACTAGAGCAAGGAAAACTGAGTTGGATCAGCATCTAGATGTATTTATAGAGCATCTTTATTATGCATATTCTGTATTTTTACTGTGCAGCAGAAGGGCATGAAAAATGCCCCTGAGAATCAGAAATCCTTTTTTTGTGGCATTGCACTGAAGTAACCTGAAATCTTTGTTTAATTAAATATGTAAAAAGAATCCTGTGATTGAAGACATACTTTATTAACCAAAATGCCTTTTTTTTATGGACTAGTTTGTAGTTGTTTTGGATCCTTGCTACATGTTAAACCATGAGGAGGGGTAGGCTGGCCATATACTCTCAACACAGAGGTTTTTTCTGATGATCTTTTTAATTCTGTCTGCATGAGTTTTTCCCTCTTTTTTTGTACACTTGCTCTGCAGACAATGAAATACACTTATTTTCTTAAATTCTGCTTTTGTAAATGTCTTCCTTCAATCCCTCCTTCATTTCCTACATTTTTAGCATAAGGTAGGGAAGTGGGATGGTGATGAAGGCTGTGCACAACAAATCAGACAGACCTGTGGGAAAAGTATTGTCTTGAATAGATAAAAGGATGTGATCAGTTTTGAAGTTGCAAAGATATTTTTTTTTATTTAATTTTTTACCATGTCAACTCAATCACAAAGTGTAAGCAGTCTTGAGGCCTCTTTTAACAAAGCATATTATGGAAGTAAGTTTTATAAGTTGCATAATTTTTTCTAAGAATTAATGCTTCTTAACAACATTAGCAATTGTTAAGACCTTTTCACTTGGATCAACTGTCATATGCAGAGTTCACACTATAAAGGTATTTACTTTTCAAATGCTCTTGTCTCTTCAACAGAATGAAGATCTTGTCTAGCCTAGGAACTTCCTGTTCCTTTTCTGGTTGGTTTCTTTGTTGCTCCTCTGATTCCGTAACATGGCTTTTTTTTCTCAGCAGCTTCATGAGTAATAAGTAACATCTGAGCAATACCAATTTAGTTCAAATGAAAACCATACTTCCATTTTGAAGTAATAAATTGTGTGTGTTTTGCAGTATAAGTCTTCCAGAAAGAGTTCAAGTGGAAATGAAAATGATGAGGTGAGATGTAGTAATCGTGTGAAGTATTAAGAAAAGATTTCTTCACTTGTCTTTTTTGAACCAATTAATTTTGCATTCCAAAGCCATAGCAAAAATAAGTATTATACTCCTTTATTTGAAAAAAACCCTCGAGGTTGTCTACTGGGAAACAGTAGGACATTAGCCTGCTTTGGTAATAGCAAAGTTAGTTCACCTATCAAGCAGAGGTAATGTAAAATATTTGATGTAAACAGTATTTCCTTGGCTTACATGTTTTAAAATTTAGTTGCTGCCAGTTTGTAGCATACTTGGCAAATGTTACATGTCTCATGTATTTCATAATTTCATGTTTCTTGTTAAATCATCGTTTTCATTTTTATAATTTCATCTCTTTGATTTCTTTTTAGCAAGACAGTGATAATACTAATGTGTCCCCACAGTCTCCTGTGTCGTCTGAGGTACAAGTTTGTGGTTTTGTTTTTCATTCAACAAACATTTCTTTATGTGCATTGCTGTCACCAGGTTTTTCATGCAGATATAAAGCTGTTCCCTTTGAAACTACAATTAGAAGTATTTCATCATAATAAAAATTCAAAACCAGATCAACCAGAGACAGATATTGCAACTTGTTTTATCTTTGCAACTCTCTGATCTCTCCTAGGGCTCTTCTTTTTGGTGTGAGGAAAGGTGCTTTGCTTTGTCTCCATTATCTTTGCTAATGAAAGTAACTAATGAAACAAAAATCAAGTTTGCCATGTTTTTTAGGTGTTCCCTATGCACTAGTCATTGAGAGGATTTAAAGTAAAACCTGTGATTTAATACTTTATGTATCACTGGGAACCCAAAGGCACTGACACCTCTCAAGGAGTCACATCCTTTACCATTGTGGGTTGCTGTCCAAGGAGTCTCACTGGGACAGCACTGCAGTGCTGAACTCAAAATAAAGCAAATATTGTTAACATTTCCACCTTATGTCCATAAGGAGCCTGAGGGAGCAGAATTAGAACATCTCCAAATACAGTGGAATGAGTTAAAATAAGGATATCTCATGTACATACCAAAATGTTGAGTGGATCTCTCTCTTTAGATGGTGAAATGAGAAAAACCTGATCTTCATAGTTGGAAGTAGATATTTCTTGAGAAATGTTTTGGTGCTAAGCATTGGGGGAATATTTGCATCTGCTTACAGCTGGCTTAGAACTCTGTTCACAGAACAGTTTGCAGTAATTTGAAATAATTTGCAGTAGTTTTAGGTAGTTGGTGCTGCTTTTCTTCCTCATAATGAGAATTTTATCTGCATGTAGAGTGGTTACTTTCATTCTGTGTATTTTATACTGTCCCTTCCAAAAGACTGTACTACAGTTAAGCAGAAGGACTCTCCTTAGGCAAGAATAATTTAAACAGTATCTTCATGGGAACAAAAGTTAATTCTTTTAATGATTGAATGAAAATTGACTTTATCTCTTTTGACAGGATTATGAAAGGACAGATAGTAACACTCATGGTCCATTTGGTCTCAAACCAAGGTCAGGTAAGCTGTTGTTCTCCAACACAGTATGGTAGAACAGAAGTTTCTTTCCCAGGCTGCAGTGGACTGTAAGGATGGGAGATGTCACAGTACAGGAATTTCCTCAGTGTGCTCATCACTGCATAGTACTGGGAAAGGCATAGACAGCTGCTTTGGCAGATGAATAATGGGAAGATCCTCAAGTTGCACAGTGATTTTTTTAATCTCTTTTTTATTTTTTTTCTCCCACTGCTTTATTTTCTGCATATTTACTCCTGTCAAAAACAGGGAAGCAGCATACAATTGTTCTTGAGATCTGGTGGCTGAAGCAGGTTTCAAAAGTAGAATTTTTATAATTTCTTCTGTGAAAGGATGCCTTGAGCAGAGCTCTGGCAGTACTTTGATGGGCTTTGTTGTACCCTGAGTCTTCCAAGATTCAGCCATACCCTTATAAGCAAATTGTATTTTCTAAAGCAGGCTTTCAGTCCTCTGAAATCTAGGTAGAAATACTCCACATCCCCCCACCCCCAGTTACAGTTGTACAGTTTGTATTTTTGATTCTTAGATCTCTTGCTAAAATCCAGACTATTAAAAACAACATAGAAAGTTCTCAAGGTGTAAGTTTTGAATTTTTTTTTTTTCTCAAAAGCATGGCATAAACTACTTAAGGATACAGAAGTATTGCAACAGAAGAGTTTGCATTTGTCAGTATCCTGTAAAATAATAGTCATTTGAAGGCTTTCTGACCACGAAGAGTAGTAAAGTGAATGTCATTATTTAACAGACCTTCTTTTAAAGAAAAAACTCTGAACTTTTAGATGAGACATTTCATATTTTTCAATTAGTTCTTTAACAAGTGATCACTCTGTTTCTGCATATGCACACCTAACACATGCACATATGTGTGTGTGTATATGTTTTAAGTCTTTAATTTTAAATTATATCAGGGAGATCTGTTTTTAGACTCATTAATGACTTTATACTTCATTAAAAGTAAAACACAGTAAAAATACTTTCAAAGCTAGATTGAAGAAGTGCAAATGGAGTTGTGTATCTCAAACTCATACTTCAATATTGAAATAAATTCTGTCTCCATATTTTCTAATTATCCATTTACACATAAGATGATCTCTGCATATTATTAGATGTTTCATATTATCTTTCCTATCAGGATGCTTAAAAACATTCTTAAAAGTTCTGCAGTTTTTATTCTTGGTTAGAGATTTTTAATAACTGAGTGTTTTGAATCTGTATTCTGGTAGCTAACTTCCCTAATAATGTTGCTCAGCTTTCAGCCGTGCCTCACGCCAGGACTATGGTGCCGTGGATCCTGGATTTACAATGAGGAGGAAAATGGAACATTTGAGGGAAGAAAGGGAACAAATCAGACAGCTTCGCAATGTATGTACCATGTTTTACTGGATGGGTGCAGTGCATTTAGTTTGCTCCCTACCACAGTGGCATTTCTTTCTAAGGAGTTTCATGTAACAGCCTACAGAGGTACTAATTTGGGTCCAACCAAAATGCCAGCCTGGAACTAAATTTATTTATTTATTTGTTTGTTTATTTATTTATTTTTTTAGCTAAGAAATGAAGCAAAACAAAAAATGATTTATTTTCTTGGCTCTCTGAGGTTTTAGCTTTTTTTAGGGAGACAGTAAGTCTGCTTGTGTTTGCTGCTGTTTGACCTGAGACTTGAAGAAAAATGATGATGGTTTTCTGAGTAGCCAAATGCTTTTTGAGGGTAGAAAGTCGCTACAAGTTACACAACACTGAATGGGATCTACATCTCAGATTTCCAATAAGTAGTTTTCCGTGTAGTTCTGTTCTCAAGATATTTAACAGTTATAGTTAACTGAATCATAACAGTTCAGCTCTTATTTGCAGTGTGACTCCTGTGAAGGATGTTTCTGTTTGTCTGGTTCACTTCCTGAGAAGTGAAGTCTTGCTGGGGTGGGGAAGGTCATTGTTTGCCTTCTCCATTTTGCAACACAAGAGTGGAAACTGCACTATTTAACTGTCATCTGTACAAGGGAAATAGCCATTTCCAAAGTTGTGTTCCCCTCCTTTTTTTTCCTCCTCCTAATAAAATCCTGTATGATTTCAGTGCACAGATTCTGCACACTGATGACATATTCAGCATAACATTTCTGTCCTTAAAGTTCTGTGCTTTCCTGTTACAAACAGTGAGTTCATTTTATGGGTTTGAGAGCTGTGTATCCTGGTCATTGTTTGTAGAATGTCTTTCTCAATATATGTTGTTATGTCATTTAAAAAAAAAGCAAAATGAGAAAAACCCAGCAAAACAAAAGGTAATAAGGAGAAAAGTATATTTATACTCAGTAAAGTGTAAATTGACTCCATTTACTTTCATCTTAAAACGTTCCTTTTAAACTTCTAAACGCTTTAAAATACCCTGGAGTTCAAATTAAAAATTAGCTAATGCTGAAAGTAACTTCCTTATGGCCTTTTTTTATAGAACCTTGAGTCAAGGTTGAAGGTGATTTTGCCAGATGACATTGGAGCAGCGTTGATGGATGGGGTGGTTCTTTGCCATTTAGCCAATCACATAAGGCCACGATCTGTTGCCAGCATTCACGTCCCATCGCCAGCAGTGGTAGGTCATTTATCTCACTTCTCTTACATCTTGCATGAAAACAAGCCTTTTGAATTTCAATACTAAAACATCATGAATCATGATTACCATAATAATTTGCTAAACTCCCCTCTTCAGTTTTTCTGGAATGAGCATTAAACAAGGCTCAGATGTTTAGTTTCGGAGCTATTTTTACATCCTGAGTCTTCGCAGAATGTGTTTTAGCAACTGCAAGTGAATTTACATGAGAAATATACTGTCCTTCACAAATGTCTGATGAAAATCTAACATCCTGTCTTTACAGCCTAAACTCAGTATGGCAAAGTGCCGAAGAAATGTTGAAAACTTTCTCGATGCTTGTAAAAAACTGGGCGTTCCACAGGTACACTGATTGCTTTATTGACTTATTAACAACCACGGGAAATGTCAGCAAATGCTCAAGTTGGGGGCTTTGGGGGGCTTTATTCAGGGAGCAGTAGTGGTTATAGCACTGACCTGGGAACTTGAAGCTATGAACAGAAATTCCACTTCTGGCCCATGGCATGAGCTTGAGGAAGCTACTTCCTGGGTTTCTGTCAGTTCCTCACAGTAAAAATAACACTGATCTCCTTGTGAAATAAATTGTTACCTAAACAAAAGAACTGGTGTGAGAGGGTGATGTTTTAATATTTGAAAGTCTCAAGTTTAGCAACTCACTTTGCACGAATTTCAGGAAATATCCTGCACTTACAGAAGTCTGTAGTCTATCTGATCAGCTGTCTTTTTTAGCACAGCCATAGTTACAGTCCATTACTTGTGCTGATGTTGCCCCAGTTCATCCTCTTACCTCCTTGTATGAGGGGAAAAAAATTAAAGATTCAACCATTTCCTGCATGTCAGGAGACAAAAAACTCCTTTGATTCCTTCTTAGTGCAACAAGAATGGATTTAGAAGCCTGGGCTACTGCTCTGCCACAGCTTCTGTCTGGTATAGAGTCATGGGCCATTCGAGTTAGAGATGGAAATTTACCTCCCAAATGACTTGTAACACCAGCTGGCAGTTGGGAAATTATCCAGCTTATGCTGAATTTTAAAACTGAAAGATGACTTTCTTGGAGAATGGATCATTATTGACTCTCAGCACTTCCAGGTTTTCCCAAGGGAAAAAATTGTGTTAAGTCTACAAAACAAGGGAAGGGGGAAGAAGGCCACTGAGCCAACAGCACCCATCAGCTTGTTTTTATTGAGCTGCCTATGAAAAGAAACAGTCTTTGACTTTTTGAATCTAACAGTCTTTTGTGTATCTTCTGGGGTTTTCATAGTTTACACAGATCTTAACTGTAACAAGTTTCTGCCCGTTCTGTTACTGTAGAGAGCCACATACGAAATTTAAGGCCAAAGACATTTCCTCTTAAGCGATGTGTGACTTCAGAGAGAATGTGTTTGTTACAGCCTTGGGCAAAAACGGATGTGACTCGTTAAATGTACTGTGTTATTTTGCAGGAGAGACTTTGCCTGCCTCATCACATTCTGGAGGAAAGGGGTCTGGTGAAGGTTGGCCTCACAGTTCAAGCTCTGCTTGAATTGCCGGCATTGAAAGTATCTCAGCTCTCCTCTGTGTGACGTGACTTCTTGGAAGCTCGACAACTTCCCATTTGCTCTGTTGCTATGGATTGCTCTGAGGCAGTTCAGCCTCCTATGTGGGAACACCCAAGCCATCAAAAACTAATATCTGTCCAGATGCTGTAGAGAGCCTTACTCTGGAGCTGTATGTGAAAACCTTGGAGTCAGTTCACAGTTGAAAGACCGTAATTAATCTTTTTTTTCTTTCGTAATTGGATGTACAAAGAGGTTGTGGTAGCATCAGGTTCTCTTTCTAGTTAAGTTAAAAGCTGCCATTTGACATCTGAGTGTTACAGTTAAATGCTGGATTCCTGTTTTTACATCGCAAATGTTTGAATTATTTCAGAAGTACAAAGCACACCCCCCGTCACTTTAATCTCTCGAGTCAATCATTTGATTTAAAGGTAAGACAAAAATGTAGCGATGGTGTGATGGTAAAAATGAGCAACTGATCACTTATAATCCCCTTTCACTCTCTGAAAGCTTAATATTTGCGTTCTTTATTTTTTGCACTCCTGATTGTAACTTACGCACTTCTAACATTGCCAGTATTGAGTCTGAGTGTCTGGTGATTACACAAAGCAGTATACAATGGGAAAAGGACACGTTTTATTGAGTTTTTCCAGTCTTCTAGGTTGGTGCCAAATATTTTTTTTTTCAGTTGTACTGTAGATTGTTTACATGTGAAGTGCCTGTGTAATTGATAATTCTTAATAGTCTTAAACATTTTTGAAATTTCCTTGTTTAAAATAGACGAAATGGAAATTTTTTAATATTTTAATAGTTTTTTTGTAAAATCAGTATGTGAAGATTTAAGTAATACTTCACATTTTTGATGTTGGGTGTTTTAAGTTTGTTGCACAATTTACTTGGTTATTTGTTGTCTAATAATTAGAAAATACTGTAAATACTTTTTATTTATGATATTTAATTTGATAATACCTAATTACTTTTGGTTTAATGTATTGTTGGACAAAAAAAAAAAGCTGTCTACTTTTCTTTGTTTGGGACAAACAAATACAATGAATAAGACATGAGGACTAGTGATTCATACAGAGTAATTTAGGACATTTTGATAAAACTGCCAAAATCTCAGGTTTACGCTGTGATGTTCAGGATTTTGTGTAATATTGCTCCTGATCTCACATTACATTTTTACAACAGGTATATCCATAATTTAGTTGGGAAGTATCAGTGTTTCTCTTTAGTGTTTACTGGGTTTCTTGTGTAATTTTACACGAGTGTGGCACAGCACTCTGGTCAGTTTGTAGAAATGTCACTGTGCTGAGACATGAGATTTTTCTGCATAAATGTGAAAAAGAACAATTTCCACTGTGGTGGTTTTTCGAAACTTCTGAGTTTACGTGTTTGTTTGCTTCTGCACAAATTCTTGGTGTTTTGAGAACATTCTGAAACCATGCACAGTTGAGATCTTCTCTAACCAAATTGCAAATAATTCCATAAATTTAATAGGAAATCTGTTTGTGTTAGTTTGTTCTTCATGAACAGGTAGCTCAATTAAAAAAAAATGTTTTGACTGTCACAGATTTTCTATTATTATATTCTATTTCAATTATTATTTTCTATTTTCAATTATATATTTGATTATTTTCGATTGAGGGATGTGTTTGCCAAGCACTTAACAAGATTTGATTCTGTTCTTTCCAATTGATCAAGACCCTGTGTAATACTATTCATAAAAGAATGATGGAAGAGTATTGTGTAGTCCTTCTACTGTAGTCCCTAAAGTCAATAGCTGACAGGAAAAAGAACCTTTTTCTGATCACAAGTTTAAAAAAAAACTCAACTTATTTTTAAATCCATTAAAACAAACTGGTGTATGTGTAGTAGTTAAAAACCACTATTGTTTATATAGGGTTTTCTTAAAATACAGCTCATGGAGAGGCTGGTGTATAACTCAATTTGCAAAGTCCTAGGTGTAAATCTTAGGTTAGATAAATATGTGTTTAAGGAAACTGGATTGTTTTGGCCTTTGAAATATGGTATTTCAAATCTCTCTTAGCTGGTTTTTGAATCATTCCTTAATACTCATTTTAACAACTTCAATCTCTGATTTCATTAAAGGCAGTATCTAAAAAGTCATGCAAAAAATAAAACTAAAAAGTAATATAATTCACTAAGCAAAATGCTTGCCTGCTCCATTTGAAGAACCCAGCCATTCAAAAAGAGCAAGTTCCTGTCTTTTGTTTCATTGTTGTTGCTGATACCAGAGCAAAGTTCTAGTTGTGTGAGCCATAGAATTGAGGACTATAAATTGTCACTGTCAGTTATCTGTCTTTAACTGATCTCCACTATTTCATTGTCACATTTAAATAAGTTTTCTGATCTTAAAGTAGCTTTTTTTCTTTCCTGAACTAATTTTATAAAGTTACACCACAGTGTAAAAGTTAAGAATTCTCTCTATGTAGCATGCCAGCCACTTTCCTACTTCCTCCTTATGTTTTTTAAGAAATTGCTCCAGTGGCACTGGTGAACTACTGTAGTTGCAGAATCCCTGCTCCAAACATTTATAATGTTTGAGGTGTTTTGTTTAGCATGTGATGCCATTACTAATACCTGCTACAGCTGATAGGATTCTTAAAACCAGAGGCCTCCTCAGTTCCTTTTGCAGTTGCTCAGTTTTTACTTAGGACATGAAGAAGAGTCAACATTAAAAGCTTCAGGAAGCTACCTTAAGTTTTCCTGATAAATTAATGGGTTAACAAGGGTGCTTTTGTTATTGTGAATGCTCTTCAAAGCTACTGCAATAATGTGGTATGAACTGTAAATTAGAGAGTGAATCAACACAGTGACAGGGCTTCTGGCCTGGTGTATTTTGTCTGTGTTTTATGTCATTGGATGCAGTATGTCACATATGAATGATCTTTCATTTAAGCAATAATGTCCCAGATATGGTGAGATCTTAAAGCAGTGACATTTGTTGTTGTGAAGTGGGTGACTTCCCACACAGTATGTCGGAGATGTTTCCCATCTATTCTCTGACACTGCTGCTCCAGTGTCCCAGCTGGGGGTGCAGGAAACCATCCATACCCACCTATCTGGAGGCCTTCCAAAATTTAGCCAAGAACTATGATCATAAATATGGAGGAATTCATTTGAAACAATGAATAACTATGACATGAGTCATAAGAATTATTTTTTTTTTTTTTTTCAATCCTAGCCTTACTGAACTCCAGGCAACTTTTAGCCTTGACCTCAGTAAAGACTTTCACCTTTTTCATTTATGGAACACCTGAGCTGGAGCCCATAGCAAACATGGCTTAAACTTGTTTGACATGAGCAAACTTCAGTGTCAAATTCTTAACTAAAAATAGTGATGTCTGGTAAGTCGAAGGAATCTGTAAAATGTTACACTGATTTATTTTCTTTAATACAAATTTTCTGGTATGCCAAATACAGTACTTAGATGATAGGAAAAATTACATTGAATCAGAGCTTTCATCCAATGGGAAACTGTGTTACCTTGGTAAAATTGTAGGTGAGGACAACTGATGGTTGTCACTGCACTAAAAACTTTACTTCAAATATCATTTAGTGGTAGTTTCCTCAGATTTTTGACATAAATCTGTCACCAAATTCAAACAAAACTGGACACATCTGTTTTCACTAGAACAGAACTTCCATGTGTCTTGGTATTGAAGAGAAGCAAGAAGGTCTGGCACTTCTTCCTTCTGCTGGTTCCTTAAATGCTTGTTTGAAAGGGAGCTGATCCAACTGATTTCAACAGAAAGCAACCTGAGGGTGTTTGTGGCACTTCCTGCAGACAGGAGATGTGGTTTTGTATTGGCAAATGAAATCTCTCTGCTTCCTCAATAAATGAGGTTAATGTCTGTGTTTCTTTCATGAGGATCTCTTACTTGAAAAGCAAAAGCAAACAGAACACCACCCCAACATACCAAAACTGGGATTAAAACAAAAAGAGTTCATTCAGACCAGGAATGGGAAAGGCAAAGTGTAGTTGGCCAAGGACATAACTCACGTTGTGCTCTCATGTGAGGGAATGAAAACAGTGTTACTGGGTTTGTTCCGTACTCAGCACACCGGGATATGTGTAATTCATTTACAGAGGGAAAGGTGGAGTGTGTGTTTTTAATGAGGAATTTTATGGTACAGATTCATTTTGTGAAATAAATGTGAAGATAAATTATTCCCTTCCTGTGAAGAAAGTTTCTGCTGATCTTCACTATTAAGAGAGAGAGTATATGTGATTAACTAAATTTTAGTTTAAAACTGCACAGGAGCAGTTCTGGCTCTTGTGTTTCTTACATAATAAATTGCCACTTGCTTTATTTGTCTTTTAAATATTTCACGTATTACAATTTGACAGCATCTTAAAATTGTGGTTATATGAAGTATTTGTTTCCTGACTGGTTTTGATTATTTTTTTTTTAGTGTGAGAGGCAAAGGGAGGCAGAATTGCTGTAAGATGCATGGAAGGAATACAAGTTATCATAAAATCCTACGATCAGGCATTTTTAGTTCAAATGTTTTATAGCTGACTACATTTTCAAAGAAGAATTTTCAGTGTGTTTTTTACATACACATATGAGAATCCTACTCTTCAAATAAGCAAAAACCAAAAAGTTTTCCCATGATTACTGTAGTATCTTAGCAGATTCTAAAGGAGAAGGATAGCTCAGACTGACAGCAAATTTAGTTGTTTTGGGTAACTTTTCATTTTGGCAGTGTTAAGTTTGCAGTTGAACTTGATTGGTTCAAAGGTGTTTTCCAACTTAGACAAGTCTGTGATTGTAAGACTTCAATGAGACCAGAACTTCCCTCAAAAAATAGTTTTATAACTCAGCTACAGCATTAAGTCAGTCATTTAAAGTGAATTCTTGGCACTGATGAGGATTTCCTCACTTCTTCCAAAATTGTGTGAAATAAGGCAAACCAAACTTTTTTCCCCCCAATAATTTTATGGAGGCAGATGGTAAAATATTGAGAAATGCCACAAGGATACTTTTTTGCTCTGTTCCATTTTTAAAATGAATGAACCAGTGAAATATTTCCCAAATGACTATATTTGTGTAGGGTCTGGTTGTGCCATAGCTGCTGTGGGAACTCCCAGTAACTGTTCAATACTGATGTGCATCCTGGAGCATGTGCAAGGCTGTGCTCTTCACATGCAGATGTTGATCCAGTTGTGCAGCCATGGGAATTCCTGGCTGTGGCAGCAGCAGTAATGCCAGGCTGGGATTCCCAGGAAGGGCATACAGAGGTGTATTGCAAAAGGGTTGTTTGGTGGAATACATTGGGAATAATGTGAATACTTTTGACTATTATATAATGTCTAGAACAAGGAAAATGTGATCGATTTACAGTTACCATTCAGTTGGTATTCAGTTATTTTACTTTGTAACTTGTGGTTATAAAACTCGGAAAATGCAGTGTAACCAAATGGTCAATATGTAAATGTGTGCAGGACGTGGCAGAAGTTCTGAGGCACAGCTGGAGAGTGATCATTTAAAAATACATGCTCAAATTGTGTATATACTTGGAAAATTTTTGATAGTGCATTTCAATTTGGTTTGCATTTCATGTTCTTGTAAAGTGCATCTTCCACACTTCTGAAGATTGTCTACTTGTACTATACTGTATTAAGCCTTTTTTTCAGGATTTCCATTATTGCTGGAGCTTCCAACATACATGTTTCTTTTGAAAAATGTTCTTACTCTTACTTTTTTTGTAAATAGTGTTTTGTATTAAATTTGCATGGATAAAACCCACACTTCCAAAACCAGTGTACATACGCTGTGTATAAAGTACGAACTGTTTCATAACTTCCATGTAGTCAAGTTATTCAATTTGATTTCACTTCAGGTTTTATATATTTGTAGTAAATAATGAGAATCTGTTGTATGCTCTCTCAAATGTCTGTGTTGTCATTTCAATAGATAAGTGACCTGCCTGGTTACATACAGGAAATATGTTCCTTGACAAACTAAAGAAATACTGAGTCCTGTGCCAGGGACGTGGGGACACATCCACACATGGAGTATGTTGGGCTTTGACCAGCAGGGAAAGCAGTGGTGAGAATATGTGAAGATCAAGATGCCTTCACTTGTAGCCCTGTCTTTATACTCTTACACACTTTCCTGTCTTACACAACATGAAAACCACCCAATGTCTTCTGGCCTATCTGTTTGGAACAACAAGAGTTTTTTGAGTCTTGCTAATGATAAGCTTAATCCAGTATGGAAACTCCTCCTGACAGAGGTGATCTACTTCCCTTCTGTTCCCTGGCAATAGCACAGATAATCTGTGTGATTTGCAGTCATTAATTAGCAGATCCAGATTAGGGAAACAGAACTGACAGAGTTTGGAGCTGTAGTTAAGTTGGGTTATTCAAATGGAGGTTAAAAGAGAATTTTATATGATGAAATTTATTTTACCTTAATTTCTTTTTGATTATTTAAAGGTGTGGACAATTTTATTTTTAGACTTGAAAGTGCTCTTTAAGAGATGTTTTCCCCTGTGAGACCTTGTTCTTCACCTGCACACACCCAGCTGCTCTTTGTTTTCTGGTGAAGCACATTTTGGCACTATAAAGCAGAAATTGGGGAGCAGCATTACAAGGAGAGTGAACACCATTCCTTGACAAGGGCATCTCAACAGCTGGAACTTTTTTTGCTGTTACCAGTAAGGGGTCTGTAGTTGAAATGTTCTGAGCCTGTTGTTCAGTTTTCAGCTCAAAAAAAACTTTCCTCTTATGAAAAGGCTTTTTGAGTGTTAAAGGGGAATGATACCGTGTTCAGAACCCTCTGTTCCGCGCTGAACTCCATGAACCACGAGATTCCTGTCTGTCCTTGGCAATCTTCATGGGGAAGGTCACTCTTGAATAATCAAAGTAAGCAAATAACCCTCTGTGATTCCCACGTGAGAGAAATGTAAAAGTCACAAAGTTTGCAATGTAATTTTAGTATTAATTTGAGCTTGGTACGTTTGATCAGCGTGCCACAAACTCGTATGTTCCTTTATCTTTTGATTATCAGCTATGGATAATATGTCTCAGACATGGACTTTTTTCACTGAGTCATGAGGTGTTAAGAGTTTGGTAAATAGCAGGCTCCATCTATAAACACAATGTAGATGGTTCACAACACCTGCTCTGGTGAAGGTGCTTCTGGCTGGCAGGCTGCAGTGGGTCTGGCAGTGTGTGAGGACTAAAGGCACCCAATACACTTAATGATCCTCACTGCAGTGCTCCAACCACCCAGTGATTCTTCAGGAGCAGTTCTTAGGTTCTGTGTAGGTCTTGCTGACTGCAGCAACTTGTGCAAGTCACACCGAGCTTCTGTTTCTTAAATCAAAGATGGTGAACTGCTGCTGCTGGAACTCTTCCGTTCAGACTCGGATCTCCCCCCGCCGTCTCAGGTACCTGCAGTGTCTGTTCTTGTGCTGTGTCTGCCCTTACAGCCTCCCTTCGAGTCCTGATTGCAGAGCACTTGGACACGTTGCTCTCAGCAGCTGCAGGTTTGCATTGGCTACAATCCACTGTAGCCTTTTAACTTTCTCATTAGGATCTGTCCATGCCAGAGGTGGATGTAACTGTGGTGCCCCAGGCAAGTGTTGCTGTTCTGATACTCTGACTTTGTGGAGACTGAGATTTGGGGGAAAAAAATTGACTACTCCTCTGTTTTTTCACAGAGTTCTGTTTCTGATTCTCTGTTCAAACACATCAGTCAGGTGGCTACAGGTGGCTGTTAGAACCCTTCCAAGAATATTTTTTAAAAAGGGTGAAAGTTTAATGTGGGAATGACTTTAGCAGATTAAATCTGTTGGAAAATGTGTATGTAGTTATTAGAGGTTTTAATTAGGTAGGCCTCATTAATAATGAAAATCTCGTGCTAATAATATTCTGATTATATAGCCAAAGAGTAAATTATGCTACAAATACCTAGTTTTCACAGCTTATAACACATTGCCTTCAGAGCTGACCAGTGCATAACTTCAGCACAATAGCTCGTAGTTACTAGTAAGGGCAATATAAGAGAAATAAGAACCTGTTAACTTTTCTGAAATTCACAGGTGATTGTTAAAGGTTTAATTTTTTTTATCATCTTACCATAATTTTCAATGTAGTGGGGAAGTAGAACAACTAGACTGTATCTGTAACTTCTGTGGGTTTTTTTTTTAGCTAACATTTAAATGTGACAGACTTACTGGAATACTTGTATTTTTCAGCAACTCAATAAACATCTATCTTTGGAGTATTATAATTGTGGCTTTATTATAATTATTTCATCACCAGAATCTTGACAACTTTATGAAAGGCAGATCCTGCTTGACTAACCTGATGTCCTTTTATGACCAGGGATGAGGGAAAGGCTGTGGATGTGTCTACCTGGACTATAGTGAAGCAAAGGATTTCTATAGTTTCTACAGACACTGTTTCCCCTTCTCCTGGAGAAACTGGTGGGCATGGCATCCTGGCTTGTGGCAGCAGGACCAGGGCAGTGATGGTCCCTCTGTGCTGGGCACTGGTGAGGCCACACCTCAAATCCTGTGTCAAGCTCTGGGCCCCGCAGTTCATGAAGGACATTGAGGGGCTGGAGCGTGTCCAGAGAAGGGCAACAGAGCTGGGGGACAAGTCTGATGAGGAGCAGCTGGGGAGGCTCAGCCTGGAGAAAAAAAGGCTCAGAGAGGATGTTCTCACTCTCTACAATTCCCTGACAGGAGGTTGTAGCCAGGTGGGGGTCAGTCCTTTCTTCCAGGTAACAAGTAACAGGATGAGAGGAAATGGCCTCAAGTTGTTCCGGGGGAGGTTTAGATTGGATATCAGGGAAAGTTACTTCACTGAAGGGCTGGTCAAGCACTGGAAGAGGCTGCCCAGAGCAGTGGTGGATTCACCATCCCTGGAAGTGCCCAAAAGCCATGTGGATGTGGCACCTGGATATGGTTTAATGGTGCACACAGTGGTGCTGGTTGAACTGGATGACCTCAGGCATCTTTTCCAACCTTAATGATTCTATGATTCTAAGATGAAAATTAACTCTGTCCCAGGCAGTGGCATAGTGCCAGTTTTATCTTCCGTGAAACTGTTGGAGCTACATTTCCTGCTCTTCAGCAGTTCAACAAGGTTTGTTCCTTTTTCTCCTCATGCATTTACAGATATTTTTCTGCTCCAAAGTCAGTGGGTTTTTTGAAATCCTTTTGCTGCTTGAGTGAAAAATACTTAATATCTTAAGTGTAGACGTTAATTTGTGTTAATAAGTATTATGACGTTTCAGATAGGTATGAATTCATGAGCTGATGCCACATTGTTCATTTCATCCACTTGCTTTTGATCTCCAGAATGCCATATTCTCCTATCAGGAGAAGAAAAAAGCAAAGTGATAACAAACACTCTGTCTCCTAACAGAAGCCTCTAAGTGCATGAACTTCTTAAGAATATTTGATAAGACAAACCATCCCACACTATGTATTCTTCAGCCCCTGAGAAACAAAAGTGAAAGAAAGCAGGATTATCTCTGAAAACTTTCAGTGGTGTAATTTAGAAAAGGATAAGTAGTATTGAATTCACTCAGAAATAGTGTTTATGTTAAAGCTATTCTTGTCCACTAATCATTGGATGATGTGTCTAGTTTGCACATTGCACTGTGTGCTGAAATAGTGAGTTCATTCTGTTCTTTCTCTACTAGACATTTATACAGTGATGACATTGAGATGCTTCTGCCAACAGTGATAAATTGGTAATTTTTGGCTCAAGCAACATAAACTTCTTTTTCCCAGGAATATCAGTTAAAATGATGGCAATATTGTCTCTGATGAAATGGCAGGGGAATTCTCTGTTTCTTTCCTCCTGTATATGCAAACTAAGGGTTGCAAAAGAAGAGAGGCTCGACTCACTGGTGTGGTCAAGAATTATCAAGAGATAATTCTGTCTGCCACCTAATCTGTTACTGTGTTATTGCCCTTCTGTCAGCTGTCCCATGCTGGCCTGTTTATGCAGTTTTGTAGTATTGCCTGTATATGGCATCACAGAGACTTATTCGTGTATTTGGGAGCTTCAAAACTCCCTTTGCCAATTTTTCCCTCTTGCTGGTGGCTTAGAAAGAGCCTTATCACACAGGCTGGGTCTGACTGTGCTCTTTTCGGTAACTTACATTAACATTTTATTCCAAGTTATTTCACTGCAAGTTTAAGAGTTTTGTTTGATGCGTAAATTGAAATGACAAACTTTGTATTTAGGAAAAATACTTGATTCTTTTAGGATTTATGTGCCCCCAAACTGCAATTTCATTTCTTTTGGTCAGATCTTCTGGCCTTTCAGATATCAACAAACTGCAAGGAGTTCTGTTTTTATGCAAAGCAAATTCAGAGTTGCTATAATGTACTTAGAAGAAATGTATAAAACAGAGCAGATCTTATCACTTCTGTTCCCTCAGGTACAGATGGGGAAAGAAACCTCACCACCATCTGGATTTTTTCACTTGGACTTCAACATAAACCAAGAAAGCCTTATGCACAGAAGGGTAAATTTAGTTTCTCTAAATAGGAATTTTTTTAAAACTAAATTTATTGTTGTCTTTTAAAAAGCCACAACACTTTTGTGCTTAAATTGACAGTTTACTCAACAATGGTAAAAAACGTGTAGGTATTTTTCACTTTCTGACAGGCTGCAGCTGCCTGTCAACATTGCAACTTGACTTATCCCATGTTCACTGCTGAGTGCAGGTTGTGCTGTGCCCACAGACATTGAACCCCCTTTATTTTGGTCATAGAGAACTGCTCCTGCACTCTGATCTCCAGGAGTACAGAGCATTCTGCTGTTTGCCACTTTTGCAGCTTCTTTGTACAAAACACTTTTACTTGATGAAAGTAACCACTGAAGCTGTTACCTTTCTGAGCTTATAAACATGAAAAAAGCC